CGAAAAATCAATACCTTACTACCACCTAAAAAGCGTTATAAATCACACTAGCCCTACCCACTTGTCGTATCTCATTCCAAGAAGTCATTCCTTTCCCTAGGTAGATAGGCAATTAATTATGGGAATACTGATGAGGGTTGCACTCCTTCTTTCTCAGAATGACTATTCTACTGAGTTTATTACTCTCTGTGTCTATAAATCGTTCACTTTTATGTACAATTTTCCTCTTAAGCTTTGAATTTTGTAGATTACCTATGATTTTTAAAAATTTGTTAAATATACCTGTCTTTGTTTCTCTCTTTCGTTATACATTTAAATTAATTTAATATATATATGTTATATATAAAATTTATAATCATTATTTTTAATATATTATATATATATATATATAAATCTGCATATATTGCATCTGCATATATTCAATATCAGTAGCTGCAAGGTGAACAAATATATTCATTTGTGTTTCTTACCTTAACATTATGTTTTTCAACCAGTCTCGTTAAGTTTATATGGTTACTTTATAACTCTGAACTATTCTTACAAGTACGGCTTCCTAACTTGTAAGATATGTACTCTACGCGAAGCTATGCGACGTTCTTAGTCAATTATTAAGCTGAATAAAAATTAATTTCTTCACATAGACAGATTAAAATTGGACAACATTTTGTTTTTCTACTCCTTTTGATTTAAAATGAATCTAGACCATACAGCATAAAAAAGATCGATTAACTTATTGACGTTAATGTTAACAAATTTAAACAACTTGCCTTTTAATAGTGCAAATGACCAAGAACAAGTTTCCATCAAGCACTGCACATAGTTGTTCCTCTCGATTAATCGCTTAAGGTCACTTACCAAACTCGAATATCAATCGGAAAACACTATTTCTCATCCAGCCCTAGATTGGTACTAAATTTTCTGATGCATGATGAAAGCCACCACTTTGCCTGAATTGCAGTTAACCTATTTAAACTCAATTTCACGTAGTTCTACTTTACGTAACCTTCTAGTCTGAGCCAATATACGTGATGGAAACTAAAGTGGAGGTAAGATAGTGTCTAAATTAAGCTCAACTGCTAGTAAAACTTCAAAAATAATTTTTCACAACTACATAGTTATTGGCTTTTATGTTTGCTCAAATTATCAGGAACCCAATTTGTAAAATCTTATTTACTGCTTTATACTACCTCGAAAGCGAACCGCTGAATTAATTGTATAGCTCTACATTTATACTGCTACACTACAGTTATACTATCTAGCTCTACAATTATACAGAACCACTCTAGTCTAAAACTGTAGTTATATACTTCTGAAAACGAATCTATAATCTACTCAACTACTTCAAAAAGAAAGAAAAATCGCTGCTTCGGAGTTAGCTCTGGTATTTAATTTTATGTAATTTTATCATATTAAATACTGCTGACATCTGTGTACTTTAACAAGCTTATTCTAACTTCTGCTCTTCATGCTATTATTTTCTGAACTAATGATTTTGGTTTAGGTTAATCTTTAATATTTAATTTCCTTATTTGTAGCATATTCTGCAGAGTTTGAGAAGACTGTTATTGTTGTCGAATTGTGTTTTATTTTTTGCTATTTATACAGAATCTTTAAAAAAAAATGCTTAGTACACATCTTTTGTTTTGGAGGAAACAGTCCCATACTGCGCTCATTAGTGATAAAGTGATTACGCTCATTCGAATAAAATAATAGCTACTCTTTCTTGCTGAAAATTACGTAAGTTACAAAATCTAACTCTCTAGCGAAATGAGATGAAATGAGATGGCCCATTACAAAGCTGTAAAAAAACATAGATTACTGTGAATCAACATCCGGAAATGCAATAACGAGTAATAATTACCAATTCTAAGTCATCGGATATAAATTCATTAATGCATGCAATACTCCGGCGAAAGCATGTTTACAGACAAATTCCTGCATGTCTAATGGTCTTTCCATGGGATGGCTACCCTGACTGCTATTGTGGTTAGAAAGCCTGGCTGCCGTACCAATGGAGATGGGTTAGAATCTCGGTAAAGGCATGGATATTTCTTAGTGTCTGTTCGACATGAGGTACTCAAAATAGTGGCTAGTCGAAACTCCTGTCTAGTGATGTAGTGCTAGGGTAAAGAGGATTAGGAGACCCTCGGGCCATCCTCCGAGAGTGCTTCCCGGCCATCCTCCGAGAGTACTTCCCGACCATCCTCCGAGAGTGCTTCCCATCGAAATTGGGGTGAGTGCTGCATAGTTAGCAAGGTGGACCTATAGCTGTGCGACCAAAGATGACACTTTGGTGTTCCCTCTACTTGTACCTTTACGTGTAGCTCATGATGAATATGATGTTTGCTCGAAATTTCCCACTCTCACTGAGGAGTATGTTCATATGCTTAGCTCATCTCCATTCTAGGATTATGTACCGAGGTCATTAGTCTTCGGAGTCATTAGAATATCCGAACATCTAGGTCTAACTAATCAAGAACGTTATTAGTCACTGTTTTGAAAAAGCGTACCATTTGTATTTTAGGATAAAGAAATTATCTCAGATCGTCTGATGGTGCGCTTTTGTTCGTGTGTTGTTAGACGATACTATTTTGTATGATTCCAACCTTTATTGTCATTGTTGTGCATCTGTAACAAAACCATTCCTTGTTCATTTTCCAGTTTGTCTCCTTAAAGAGATGAGTAGTGTATCACCATGCACTCGAAATGACAGTATTAGACTTTCAGATTGTAGAGACATTAGGTAGTTTTTTGGAAGTAGGCAAGATGAAAAATTAGCAACCGCCTTCGCCGGGAATCGAACCACGGACCTCTGGAATACCGGCCCAATGTGCAGAACCGCTACACCACGAAGGCACGTTAGGAAAACGGGAGAAATACCTTATATACTACTCTTTTTAAAGGGCGACTGGGGTTTATAGGGGACCCAATCGCCAAATCCTGGGTGTGGAGAATCCTCATCCAACACCCTTTTAGTTCGGGAGCCACTGTAGAGACCTTCTGTAGAGACAGAAGTACTGACATGCTGTCTGTGTGTATGATGATATCCTGTAGGTTTTGTTAAGAGATGTACTAGATATCTCTGGAAATAGCTGCTTCTGTCTGAAAAACGGTGTTGTTATCTTTTAGTTGCTGCATCCATAGGTGAAAACCATATGAGGTTTTTCTCAGCAACTGCCGGGTATTAGGTTTTTCTCAGCAACGCCAGCTAAGTTTCAGATTTGGACTGAGAACTCTTCCCGAGCGGTGAAATCTCTGTACAAGGGGCGAGCATTCTTTCCAGGTACTGAAGCTCTCATTGTTCTCTTCCTTACCTCTACCTGGATTTCGGGTCAGACCATTTTGGGGGTCAAATCTAAAGCGGTATTGTTTCTTTCCTCAGATGCTGAATTCTAGATTTGACACGATTTTTGCATTTTATTGGCTGAATTCACTCCTAGGCGAGATGCTAGCCATCAGAATTTACAAATTTCGTTGGGAAAACTCTAAAGCACATGCAAATTGGTGGTAGAATTTCAAAGTATTGCAATTTAGTATCGAAAGACTGTCAGTGCTTCAAAAGGGAATAGTTCCATAAAAGTATGAAAACGTTTTTTGGCTTTTTACCATCATTTTTGAGAGAGGTTAAAGAACAGATACTATTTTGTGAAATCTGGCCGCACCTTTCATCCAGATGGGGCAAAGAAAGTCTTCACTAGTTCACTAGAAATATTTTTTTTTATTACAAAAGTTTAAAACAGAATTAATTTTCTGGATATTTTTTTCTTGTGATAGTTAAATATCTAAAAATTACCTTATAGCAGGAAGAGAACTCATGTGACACAATCCCATATTAACAGTTTGAAACTATGTTAGAATGATAGTCATCCTATAAGAGAGAAATGTTATCAAATATGGCAGAAATTTATCTCTAGATATATTTTATCAAAGTATTCGATCATTGGTTTATACTCGATAACGTTTAAGTGCTAATTATTACACTTTACTGTGTTGCTAAATGTCAGGTCATAGTAAGTAAATGATGTTACTTTGCAGCTGATTCATTTCTTTTATAAAGTTTCATTGTTAAGTTAGATTTGATGAGTTCTCCAATTCTCAGCTAAAGGTGGCTATCCTTTCACAGATTAGACAAGTCCACTTTAGCAGAGTACAGAGTATGTTAAAAGTATTGGACGAGTTTATCTCCCTCCCCCCCAAAAAAAAAATCTGTGTAAAGATTTCCTTTCGGTTGCATGAATATAGATATTTATTTATTTAGATATATATTAATTTATGAATATAATATTTTAGCTTTCTATAACAGCCTATTTTAGCCGTATAGTTATTTAGAATGACTCAAAATTATGTTGCTCCTTGAAAAAAATGTTGTATCACAGAATGTTTAGAAATGCAGAGAAAGCATAAATATGTTTCTCTCGAACAAACATCAGTCTACAGTTAAGTTTGTCTAATTATTAAACCTAAAGTTGATTAAAAACTCTGCTTTTCTAATCTTATATCCCTCCCGCCTCACTGCTTGAAAGAATGACATTTCTCAATCCATTACCTTCAGTTATAAAATGAAAGCAAGTCTGGTTCTGAATTTCGCTTAGTTATAAGCTAAGGCTTTTAATCTTGTTCTCTTGTTCTTTTCATCTCTTGTTCAATAAAACTACCTTTCTCAATCCATGATTTTTTAAGTTTCAAAATAATGATAATGCCCACGCTTCTTAGCGTTTATAATGCTTTAAATACTAGGTTCGAGTTTCGAACAGAGGAGAAAAAAATTCTTATTATATGATCAGTGTTTGCCATTAAAGTAATGAATATTTTAGACAGAACAATTACAAATTCCAAAAACACTAGCTTTCATTTTTCTTTAGTTCTTTTTCTTGTGTAACCTAATAATAGGCACTATGAGTCTAGAAAACATATTTTTAATGTTTATGGAAAATATTCTTGGAACCAAAACCTTTAACGCTTGAATATAAAAGCTAAAAAAATATAATTTAATCTTTCAGGGAGATCTGGATAATGCCGAGAAGAAAGCAGTTTTTCTCACAGTACATGACATTGGCAGTAATCGTAAGTAGCATATTATTTTCATTATCTTGAAAAGTGGATTAAATTTATTTTAAAACTGCCTTTGAAAAGTATATCAACAAGAATGATTTGAAAGATTTGCCTTATTTAAGAATACAAAGCGTCTGGAATACGTGAAATCCGAAATCTAGACGTGATTTCTTTATTGATTTCAGTAATCATTTAAATGAACTATATATATAACGCAAATACATATAACAATATAACGCAAACACGCAAATTCCGCGTTTTACTGAATTGGATTTGTGTGAATCTGTATTTGTATGTATTGAAACTGTGCATCAAAATTTTGACACAGCTCGATTTAAAAAGGGGGATTATAACACAGTCTTCTTATGATACAAACCTTTTAAAAAATATTAATTTCCTAAATATCTACGATTACAAAGGTTTATTTTTTTAAGAAAATAGAAACATAAAAAATCTGAAGTTTCTTAGAAACATTAAATTTTTTTTTAGGTATACAGGCAACTTGAGGTGTATGAAATAAGCATCTTGTTTGGTTTGTCAAGAAACTATAATGAACAACAGTGTACTGCAGCGAAACTTGAGTCTGTTTGTTTCTTTATCATTGCTTTCAAGCTAGTAAAAGATCTTAATTCAACGATAATTACTCCATATTCGCTGAAATTACTCCTCTCAGAATCGTAGGAAATAAAAACATTCTTCCCGTATGATTTTGGTTTTCCAGTGTGATTATCATATCGATCATGACAGACCCCGAGAGACTGCATAAAATTCCATGCATTTTTCGCTTTTGAACTCTTTCTGGTCTTTACACCTGGTGCCAGAAACAAAAGTGGAGAGCAACGTAGCACCATTTTCGTGACAAACAGTTTGTTTGCCTGTGGTTCGTCTGGCTTTGTCTCTGTCATTCTTTAGTGTGTGAAGAAATGTAAGAAATTAAAGACATTTCTTCCATTGTGTTCTTGCATTGCAACTATTAGCACACTAGGCCGATTCATTTCGAGATCTTGCAGACGACCTCGAATGAGGGTGCAATTTAGTCTCAAGCATTTCTTGAGTTTAAACTGTTCTTGGTTTCTGCAACAGGTTCTACAAAACTGAGTTACTAAGATGACCACCCATCGTTAATGTCCTTTTATAAAGGCAATTTCTTACAGAAGAGGAGTGTTATGGCGGTTGTTATTAGCGATGACTGGTGGCAGTATCTTGGTTTGTTAATACCTTTATACTTATAAAATTAAAAATACAATTATTTATAGAGATAACCAGCAAATAAGATAGTCCCCTCATAAAAGGAAAAAAAAATTGTCCGCTTAATTTTCTGAATCTTGAAGTGCCATTAATTTTCAGAAAAAGCATAAATATTTATAAGTTTCCTCCCTCCTTACCACATGCTTTCATTGTGTAACTGGATAGTACGTCCGGCTAGCAATCGAGAGGTCCAGTGCTCGAATCCCGACGAGGGAACTGCACATTTTCCCCGTCTCCTTCATCGATAAACGTAATGACTACAGAATAAATATTTTAAAGTAATAAAAAAAACAGATGTTACGTACAAACCTAAAATTACATGAAGTTTACTTAATTATTTCAAAAAAATGGTCCCTGCTTATGTAAAATATACAAACAATGAAATCTTCCAACTAGCTTTACGATTTTCCGTGGCAATATTTTCAGTAACCTACATAACTCTAAATGTAATCGTTTTATTTTCGTTTTGAAGACATCTTAATCTAAAATTAATCATTTAAGATTTAAGTCACACATTGAATTGTAAATGTCAGATAAACTCGACCAGATGCGGTAATGTCAGAAATTAAGTCAACTGCTTTGGTGCCACTTAAACAGTGATTTGCTATACATTACCGGCTGAGCGGATAGAAAATGCGGGGGGGAATTAACTATTCAGGACTGTGATCAGCCTTTAAAAAAGAATTGTTTCATAGTCACAAAAAAAAAAAAAACCTGCATGATAAATTATGCCAAGCTGAATTAATGACTTTTAAGTGTTTACTGTCAAAATAGTTTTGTTGTAGCAGTAAAAACTAGAAATGTAAATCTTTAATTTATTTAGTACATAGAATACTTTACTTTAGCACCGAAATTGCATATTTAATTTGTAGAGACATTAGGTTAATCGAAAAGGCCGGAGAGATGAAAAATTAGCAACGCCTTCGACGGGAATCGAACCGCGGACCTCTCAATTACATGCTGAGCGTGCAGACCACTACACCACAAAGGTTCGTTAAGAAAGCGGAAGAAATACCTTATATACTCCCCCTTTTAATGGGCGACTAGGGTTTTTAGGGGACCCAATCGCAAAATCCTGGGTGAGGAGAATCGTCATCCAACACCCTTTTAGTTCGGGCGCCACCATAGAGACATTAGGTTAATTGGAAACAGGAAAGATGACAAATATGCAACGCCTTCGCCGGGAATCGAACCGTGGACCTCTGGAATACGCGCCCAGCGTGCAGACCACCACACCACGAAGGCACGCGAAGAAGGCGGGAGAAATACCTCATATACTCCCCCTTTTAAAGGGCGATAGATAGTTCTCATTAAGCACCTGGAAGTCGGAGGGTGCATATGTCTGAATGTCACAGTGTACAGAATGTGATAACGTGCTTCATGTAGAATGCGTACAACACTACCAACTAACCCACATCCTACTTGTTTGAACTAGACATCCTAGACCTGAGAGAAACACCCTACATTCAATTCTCAGCCAGAGGTGCCAAATCTAGGGAAAATTAACTTAGTGTTGGCTGGAGAGCCTAACATTTACTTTACATACATTCTATTAGATTTAGAACTAGATCTACATCCACTAGATTTCTACTAGATTCCAGAAGTTAATTTTACTTTATTTTAGAACAATTCACTGCTAGCTTAGGTTACTCTTTCATTCAAAATGCATTTTTCGAGTATGCAAACTACTTTAAGTATTTAACAATTCATACACTTTTACATAAATAGCTTTTTACTTTACTTAGCTGAAAACAAATTCAATTTAATTATATGCAACAATTTTCTAAAATGTGTGAGTATCGAAGTTGTTTCTTAAAAACATGCAAACATTTCCTAAATCAGTCTTTACGACTACAGTTAACATTTCGTTCTAATTCAACCAAGATTATTTGCTAGTAAACACATAAAGCTTCTTGCTTAATACAAAATTGTAAGCTTCTTGCTAAATACAAAAGAATAGAAAAGTTTCTTGCGTAATTAAAATAAATATTGTCCTCTACCGAGGCAAAACTGAAATAAGCATTTTCAACTAACTTCTTACTAGCTTTAAAATAAACTTAATGATTTTGATTTATTTTTTGTTTGGTGAAATCCGACATCCTTTTCTTTATAAAGTCCTCCCAAGAACGAACTTGGTTTCAATTTGTTGAAAGCCTTATGCGTTGCCTTAATCCACCGTTTACTTCTTTATCGGACGGCTGTTTACATTTCAGACCTGACCTTTCCCATACTACCTTCTTTTGGTGTTGAACTACATCTTGAGGTGCTTGGCGCTTGCGGGATTCCACCGATGAAGTTCCTTGCTGTAGTCGGGGAACACTTGCTTGGTCAGCCGTTGGTCAGTCGTTTTTTTAATATCATTTATTTTAAACTCTACCTATATTATTCAAACTCGGAACAACAACCAAAAAAAAAAAAAAAAAAAAAAAAAAAAAAGCACATACTTTGTGCTTACAATAACACCGACAACTTGAAGTACAACTTAAGACTCATCGCACAATAAATTTAAAAGCTAAAGAGTAGTGCTGGGCTAACACTTTATGTTAAGGCTAAGTTGACTCAACAACCTACCCGACGTGATAATTATTTAAATGGCCAAAATGGCGTATCAGCAACTCCACGTAACAGCAAGGATAGACGCGTAACGTGCGCTAGCTAGTGAAAACACGCTCTGAATAAACTCCAAAGTTCACCCGCTTAAATATTCACTTAATTTAACTTTAAATTTGTATCCTGGCGAGGAAATGCCAGAGGAACTTGAGGAGTTCAGAAAAGATAGCAAAAATTTGAATAATTGGTTAATTGAACTAAGGGAAACCCTACACTAGGACCAATTTTTCAAGATATATTTAGTAATGAAATCTTTTCAGAAATATGATATATAGCAACGAAACACAAACATCTTTGAGCTCTGGAAAAGAACAATCAGAATATCATGAATTGCTACTGATATTTATAGCAAACAACAAATATTTTAGATTGTCGAAGCTAAGATGAGCATCACAGTAATATCATTATAGCTTACTGATATACACGTACAAAATTTCGCCTTCTCTTCCGTCCGCTTTTTTTCACCTTTATAATAAGATGGGAAATTAAAATAGTTGAAAAATGCTTTGAAATAAAAGATAATGGTTTGAGAAAATTTTGGGGAAAATTTCAATTTTATATATTTTTAAAGCATATTTCCTGGGAGTTCGGAAATTTGTCATAATCTGGGGAAAGGCTCTGTCTCCCGAAGAGGTTTAATCCCGAAAACCGCATAAATTTCATAAAAACGCCGCTCAGACGGGAACGTTGTTAGTGACTCTGACTACCGTACTAAAGGGCTCGGGTTCGAATACCGGAGAAGACATGGATGCAAATTGTCTGTTCCTTCTTAGAAGGCAACGGTGGCCCTCCTGTTAAGTGCCTGCATAATAAAGTGACCACCGCTTCCGGCCTTAGTAGTGACCAACGCCTATAAAGGCTAGTGTTCAGCATTGGAAACAAAAAAAAAAAAAAAAAAAAAAAAAAAATCATTAAAAATTGTACAGACAGAGTCTGTTATTAAGAGTAATGAATTAATTAATAATGTCGTTATTTATAACAGGTGATATAGATAGCTGATAAATCTACAAAAATTAACGCAACTTCGGAAAAGGAAATTTCTGATGCACAGGAGTTGCTTTTTGGTTTTAGTACCTCTCAAGCACTGGAAGTTCATTTGTTGGGAGGCAAATTAGAGCCAAGAAATGATATTTCACATTAATGAGAGAAATCAT